TATTAATAATATATGAAATATCTATTATTTAAATTACAAAAAGGAAACATATTAATAATTCTTTTTGGACGATATTTGGCATCTCTTTTCTTCCACCAACTTCTCAATTACGGGAGAAATATTATTGGATGAAGCCACTTTTAAAACTGAATTTAGATGTATGTCGGTTAATCTGGATCTAACGGGCGATTTATTGCTATTCATCAATGAGAATAGTTGCTCATATAGATAAGTACTACTAAACATAGACTTAATTTTACACGCAAATCTGCGAGTTTCTACGTATCTTATAGGAAAAAAATTGTAAAAATCCGGTACACCAACCTAAATTTACGTTTTAAATTTGAATCATTTTGAATCTCGATTAGTTCCATTTGTATATGTGCTGGAACTTTTACTGCGTCTATCGAAAAAGGAGACGTGAAAAATTCATAATCGTTTTCCAAATATTTGAAATCTTGAAATCTATTTTCGAATTCAGTCTTCAAACATGTAATTAGTTCTGAATATTTTTTGTAAAAAATTGGTTCATTATAACTTGTTTTATACGTCATGCATGTTGGGAAATGTGATGAATTTTCAATCTGTAATTATGTTTTCCATAAATCTAATTTACATTTGAAAGCCTTAATATGGTTATTAATAGCTGTTATAATTTGATCTTTTCCTTGTAATTTTAAATTTAAATTTGACAAGTGCTTCGTTATATCGACCATAAAGGATAGGTCTTGTAACCACATTGGATTCGACTAAGTGCTGAATTCTTGTTCTTTAGACTTTAAAAATATTTGTATTGCATCTTTTAACTTCCAGAATCGTTCTAATACAGTTGAGCATGATAACCATCGTACTTCTGTAAAGTACGGTAAACCTGAATACTCGCTTCCTAAATCGTTTAAAAAAATCGAAAATTGTTGTTGAACATTGGTTTAAACCATGAGATCTTATAAATTTGACAATTTGTTTTACAGGTTTAATTACATGTGCCATATTAATAAGTTTTGTCCATAACACCTCTTGATGTATAATACAATGTGTCCTATGAAATGTATGCTCAAAATTTTCATTCGCTTTTTTTCGTAACCTTTAAATTAAATCTTTATTTTTTTCCCGTCATAGAAGGAGTTCCATCTGTAGCCGCAGACGATAACTTTACCAAAGGTAAATTATATTTTTTTAAGAGTTCACCAGAAACGAATACATCCTCTCCTGTAGTAGTATTATACATAGGTTTAATTTCCAATAACTCTTCATAAATATTTAATTCCATATCGCAAGCACGAAAGAACACAGCTAACTGTGCTGTACCACCAATATCCATACTTTCATCACAAGCAATTGAAAAATACTCGAAATTAGGTATTTTGATTTTTATCTGATCACTCAAATTGCATGCTTGTTCAGTTATTCTTTCAGCAACCGTATTTCGTGTTAATGAAATGTTTTGAAAAGCTTTTAGATTTCCGAGACAATTGATTTCAGCCGTTTTAATCAAACACGTTTTTATAAAATCACCTTCGGTGAATGGTTTCAAATGTTTAGCAATTAACTCTGATAACACATAACTAACCTTTACTGCAGCTTCATTTTCTTGTGGTATTTTAGTGAACATTAATTGTTGGTGTTTATATCTTAATTTAAGTTCTTTCAGTTTTTCTTGTCTTAATAACCCTTCATAGTGGTCGTATTTTGACTTATGTTGTTCGTAATGTCGCTTAATATTGTACAACTTTAGAACACTAATAACACTTTTACAATTTAAGCAAATTATTTTATTATTGATTTCATTACAAAAATATTGTAATTCCCAATGTTCTTGAAGTTGATGTTCATCGGTAATTTTACGTTTTTAGCTACTACTTGGTTTTGATACAGACATTTTTAAATTTTAAATTTGTAGTAAAATATACGCAACAAAATTTAAACTCGAACACACACTGGTTGTCGAACGACTAGTTTCCAAAGGCACGCGTGTCGCGTACCGACGATATAAGTTATTAATCTATATTCTATAATCTATATATATTTATTATTTGTACATATGAAACCATCAATAACACTAATTGTTCGATTAGATTAAAGTCTATCAGAAGATAAAACATAATAATGTATACCAAAATATATACCATTCTCAAAGAATCTATGTTAGTTGAAACACATGATTATTATTTTATAATTTTTTTTTATTATTCATTTTTTATTTTCTCCATTAATACTACTAGCCGAGGGCCACAAAAAAATAAGTCACGGGCCGCGTGTTTGACATGCCTGCCTTAGAATAATCAAATACGTAGCCTCCGTATCAAGTATTTTTCAAAAGTTATGAATTTTTCAAAGTTTTTCGGTTTTAATGTGATAATACTTGTTGCGCGGTAAACTTAATGAATCCTATTTACTAAGAAAACTAAAATATTATTTATTAACAGTGGCAGGGATTGATTATTATGTATGATATAGCTTAGGTCCTTTTAATAACGAGTAAACCGTCTTTAAATATATATTTTTTAATCTTCTGTCGAGTGAAAATAGTGGATTGGAGATGAAAAAATTGTTTTGCTGTTTCACCCAATATGCGCGTTTAACTCAGTGAAAATCAAAAAGATAACTTTATTAAGGTTTTATCAAATAAAAATAAATTGACAGGATGGATTGCAATTCTTCAGTATCCTTACTGGTTACATATTCGTCAGTACATTACTATTACTCTGTGCCGCTTTCAAAAATTCTTATATTAGGGTACGTGTCTAAGATTTTATTTCGAAGGAATAAGAAGGGCTTAACAATTATTTCCATTCAATAGAACAATAGTTTGAAATATTTAATATTTATTGGTAATTTTGAGGGTGACAATATTCTGGGCTCTTAATACTATACCCTTAAAGTATCCATAAATATAATATATATTATATCTCATATTACGAGAAAAAAATTAAAAATATAATAGGATAGCTACAGAATTTTATTGCTTTCAATTCGGGTCTCAAAAGCTTAGAGGCTTGAACCATCCCTTACTATAAAAACGATTGTTTATGCCATAAGCGATATGTTTACAATGTCAATTACTTATAAAATCGAATCATATAAATCGTATAATACGGCAACGGTAACAATGGGTAACATGTATCTCTTTTAGTGATTCATTTTAAAATTGTGTGTATTTAATGTTTACATTAGTCTTGTATTAAATATTTATAGTTAATAGTTAATAGTCAATAGTTACTGTTCAGAACCCTCAAGTGAAGCTAAACCATAAATACAATTATTTTTTAGATAGATACAGAAAAATGAATTTTTAGTTAAAAAGATTATATATCTATTAAGCAGACGTAGATACACTAAGTTGAGTACATTATGTAATATTCGTCTATTTCGCATACAAACGTTGCCATTTCATATTATGGATTTTCTCTAACCTCCAGCAAGTTTAAATCTTCAACAGTATTCGGTTCATGGTTGTGGATGTCTTTAATATCGATTAGTGTTGATTTGATTTTATGATTTTATTTTACGCAAAGCCAACTTACATCCCCCGAAACCAAATTTCTTTTAAAGTGGAATTTAAAGTTACGAAAAATTAAACACTCATGGTTTTTAGTAGTATTTGTTACTTTAAAATCCATTTTAACTTATACTTGCAGTAATACTGCTTAATGATTAGTAGGTATTAATATCACTACAAGGTTTACAGAGAGAAGTGAGAATTGTCATGAACTGTAATTAAGATATAATGTATTCGATAATATCGATGTGGATGTAACGTAAAAAGTAAAAATAGTTAAATTGATAAAAAACAATATAAATATATTTACATATTTATAAATTAATAAATAATAATAATAAATATTAATTATAGTTTTTTTCATATATATATTTATTTATTTACATTTATATTTATATATTTATTATTTCTTTATTTTAAATATACACGTATATTAGTATGAATACTTTATATTACGGGCAATTATATGTTACGGGCAAAAGTCGAAATCGGGCAAACCTCAGAAATGCCCGGGCAAAATGCGAACTGCCCACAATCCTTGAGAAAAATGTCATATTTCGGCTTTTGACCGGGCAAACCTAGTTATGACCAACCTCATTTGGGCAAAACTGCCAAAACCGTATACTGACTTTTATCGTAAGGGTAAAACGGTAGTCTTAAATACGTTCGCTAATATTAAATACAAATAATTATAAAATTAATATTATTATACAAATATAATTGAATAAACTTAATTAATACATTTAAACCTCACTTGGGCTAAACTGTAGCGTTTTAAATAAATTCATTAATATTAAATACAAAAAAATAATAATCATAAAATATTGTTTAGATATAATTTAATGCACTTAAATAATAATAAAAATATAATGATATTAAGTATTTGTATAAAAATAAACATATAATAATATTAGGTACTCTTATAATGTTAAAATAAATAATTAAAAATAATAATACATTTAAACCTCATTTTGATAAGGTGTATTTTGTGTACCTTTAATATAACGAGTTGAAAAAATATAATAACAGCGATAAATTAACAAGATATGCATGGTCATCTATAATCGTAATAAAATCGTATTTAATATTAGCAAACATATTTAAGACTCTACGGTTTTGCCATTACGATAAAAGTCAGTATACGGTTTTGGCAGTTTTGCCCAAATGAGGTTGGTCATAACTAGGTTTGCCCGGTCAAAAGCCGAAATATGACATTTTGCTCAAGGATTGTGGGCAGTTCGCACTTTGCCCGGGCATTTCTGAGGTTTGCCCGATTTCGGCTTTTGCCCGTAACATATACATATATGTATATTTATTTACTAATATTATTATTTTTATTTAATTTAATATTATTACAAAAAATTTTTTGATCTTAGAATTTCAATAATAAGGATAATATTTTTTCTACAAATCTAATTTACGACAATTTAAATTTTTTTTGTTACCAAAGATTGTCCTGGGGTTATCGGGGTTCCGCTGCACTTCAAAAATAAAATAGTCAAAGATTTGGTTTTAACGATTTTTTAATGTTGTTTATATTTTACAAAGATCCGGCTTATATAATATTCCTCTCGCGAAAACGTGCTTCAAATAATATTATCTTGTGGTAAAATCAAATAAGAAACATTTAAAAAAGGTTCACGTAGTAAACGAAAATTGAAAAAAAAATCGAGCGCTTCAGCACAATGCCTACTCGAATAGGCGGACGTTACTTACGTAAAAATGATCAGGAATATGAACAATATACATTTTATAACGCATAAATCATGTTGCGGGATAGCCAACACGAAAATGATTGCAACTGGTGATGGCTGCAGTAACCTGTATTTGAACAATACTGATTATAAACACTTATTTTATACTCGTAATAGATTCAGCGTCGGATTTAACTAATGGCAGACCAGGATGCAACTTTACTGACCGGAAATCTAAAAAAAAAAGAAAAATTGTTTAACATTAACCGAATAAATGTCTTCGATACACGTTGAAAACGAAATGTGAAATTATCGTAAGAATAAATTGAACGGGTTAACATTAAAATCTATGAATAGTTTTGTTATAATTTCGATCGAAGTTCGTTCAGTTTGTCGAACCGTTAACACGGTCGATATAATATCTTCGGTGCAATCAGATAATACATACGATAAATATATGGAGCCACTGAGAAAATCGTTGATTCCTAAAACCGCACATTTTTGATAAAATACAGAACAAAATCGCACATTTTTGATAGGTTAAAAACGCACAATTTTTAAAATTGTTGTATACAAAAATCGCACATTTTTGATAGGTTAAAAACGCACAATTTTTAAAATTGTTGTATACAAAAATCGCATACTTTTGATTTCGATCCCAAAAAGGTTATACTTACCTAGGTTAGGTATACTTAATAATTTATAATTTATTTAACAAAAAAAAAAAAAAACGCATAAACGAGTATTCTAAAATGTAAAATAAATTTTAAAATATAAAGTGTGTACAATTTTTAAAATTTGATTGGCTGAAACCAACAATTTTTAAAAATTTCATACTATCTTCGTCGATTAAAAATTCTTCCTACCGTTTAAATATGTGCTCCTAAACTAAATACAATTTAATTAAAAACCGAAGTATTAAAACGTGTTAGCATGATTATTGGAGTATATCTTATCAGTTAGTTAGCGCTAAAACTAGTGTACGGGTTTAACCACTATAAGTTTGGGGTATTTTGTTATACAATGATCGATAAAGTGTGCGGTTCTTGTCTATATCGATCTATTTTGGGTCAAAATCAAAAATGTGCGGTTTTCGGATGCAACCGGGAAAATCTACTGGTCTCTGCACCCTACGGCCCGGTGCATTTGCAAACTTTGCACCGCCGTTAAATCCGGCACCGATAGGGAAAACACGTCGGCACAATAATTTACCGCAGGAGTGGCGGTTAGGTGTTGAGCCGCAACGCGTGCGTGTCTCGTATGATGTCGTTTACGTTGATGACGGAAAACGCGTGGGCGGCGTTTTCTCTGCGATCGTTTTCGGACGCCGTCGCCGCTGCCGTTGCCGACGCGTCCGGCTTTTTGCCGCAGTCCGCGAATCGCATGCTCGGCCTTGTGCTCCAATCGACGGTCCTGCGACGGTCCTGCGCCGTCACGCCCGACAGCATCATGTTGCGGAACGAGTCCTTGATGTCGACCCGTTTCAACGTCAGCGACTTCTTCTTCAGCTTTCTCTTGAACATCGGGTACACATCGCGCTGCCCCAGGCACAACCCGTTCTTCCGCTTTTGGTGACGTTTCTTCTTCGCGCCCCGGGGCGCCGCGACCGGTTGCGTCGTCAGCACGCCCTTCGATTTGAAATAGTCCGAGCACGTGAGCACCACGCATCTGCCGATGGTGTAGACTTGAAAAGCATGGTGTAAGGAAAACCGCGGGCCAAATGTAAAACAATACGAATGACCTCATTTACCTTATCAAAAAAAAAAAACCTCTAATCTCTCACATTAAGCTTTTTACCCGACTAGTAAATTACCGTAGTGATGTTTCATAAAATGTGTACGTGTACCCAAGTATAAACTGTCAAATTCCAAGCACTTGTTATGTTCTGTGTACCGTTTGATAAATATAATCTAATATTTACTCGATAACATATGACTGATTTATAGATATTATTATACTTTTTATTACTTATTACCACTATTATTTATTTTAGTAGGCACACATGTTTGCCGACATTTTTAGTAACGTCAAAATGTTATTTCGATCGAACACATTAAAATAGTTCGTTTTTGCCGTAGACGTAATAAATATTAAAATGGTTTTGATCCAACATTAATGTTTGGCGATTACAACTTAAGAGGTTGGGGGAAATGTTGCTTTCTAGTGTATAATTGTTATACATAAACAAGTTTTCGGGTGTAATAGAGGTACACGAACACTGGAATTCGACGGGGTGTGTTTACACCAGAAGACGGATTCGGTCGAACTTTTCTATCACCAGAAAGTTAAACTTATTATTTATGGTATCTATACATTACTTCGTTCTAATACCGTCATCGATACGCCAATTATTCGGAATAATTCGTTTAAAAACCGTTTTTTTTCTTCTAATTTTGATGCACCAGCCGAAATGAAATAATTTTGTTTATTCAAAATCACCCAAATGTTATAAACAAAATAAGTCGTGCACATCACTCGAGGTGCACAAAAATAAGTCGAAACAAACAAGATATTATTTTCCAGAAAACCACAAGTCTTAAGTTATTGTTATTTGTTTGGATTTTATTTAGAATTATAAATGTTTTGTTGATTCATATAGAAATCTGTAGAACAATTGAAACTCAGGTATATATTAAACAATTAAAACGTCGAAGTATTGCACTCGGTACTTAACCTGTAATCGGTTCGTACAATCAATACGTATTTGTATACTCCAAAGAGAACACGTAAACTATAAGTATTTTTTTATAGAAAAATTGGTTTAAGTATTGGAATTAAATCGGATCTAATACAGCTACGTAAATCGGATGAGTAGAAGTTAGGTAAAGGGGTTATCTGATCATATCCGCTTCCATGATTCAGCTGACAGCCGTAGCCCTTAGCTTTCCAAGGGATATGTTACGAAGATATGATATGTGCCTCTTTCTCATTGTTAAAGAAAGAGAATTACAGCTCTGCTCTTGTAATGCATATTTAAATCTTTTGAAATCGGCTACAATACTATAGAAGTATTTGTGATTACTCGGCGGCCCTTAGGTACCGTATTAATAAATAACCGTCAAATGCAAAACATAACTTACTATTGTTGTTTTTTCACGAAGATAAAAAAACAACGTTTTAAATAACATTTATTTGTATGTTGAATCCTGTTCTGATAAAAAATAAAATTCCAATTTATTTCAGTAAAGTTACAAATTTACAAATTGAATGTTCTTTTTTTGTTTTTAAAAATTAAAGAACAACATATGACTAGTTATATATAGAAACAAAGAATTATTTAAATAAAAATCTTTACTTAAGCCTTATAATCCTATTTTAGTTATTTTAACAATACAAGAAGAAAATATTACTCAAATCGTATAGAAATAAAAAGTTGTTTATAATTTATACAGTGTATTGTTAAAATATAATTAATAATTAATAAAACTAGTTGCAAAAAAAAAAAAAAAAAAAAAAAAAAAAAAACAAAAAA